CTGCTATGGACTGAACATGTGTGTGTCTGTCCTCTGCCAGGCTCCTAGGTTGAAGCCCTAACCCCAAAGTGATGATATTTGGAGGTAAAGCCCTGGAAGGTGATCAGGTTTAGATGTGGTCAGGAGGGTAGAGCCCCTGTGATGAGATCGGTGCCCTTATAAGAAAAGGAAGAGAGATATCTCTGAGCATACACCAAGGAAAGCCATCTCAGGAGGAAGGCTATGCCCAGGAAGGTGGTCTTCACCAAAAACCTGACCATGCTGACACTCTGACCTTAACCTTCCAGGCTCCAGACAGTGAGACATAATGTTTTGTTGTTTTAACTACACAGTCTATGGTATTTTGGGATAGCAGGATGAATTATGATGCTCCTATTTCTTTTTTTCTTTCATAGTGTGTTCAAGATTTCTGATATACTTTGGATAGTAGTGTTCACAGTAGTACCCTTGTCTTGTTCCTAACTTTAGGGGCATACATTTAAAGTGTCTCCAATTAAGCCCTGACTGGTTTGGCTAAAAGGTTAGAGCATAGGCTAAGGACTGAAGGGTCTTGGGTTTGATTCCTGGTCAAGGGCAGGTACCTGGGTTGCAGGTTTGATCCCCGGTCTCTGTAGGGGTCATGCAGGAGGCAACCAGTCAATGTTTCTCTCTTTCTCTCTCTCTCTCTCTCTCTCTTCCCCTCCCTCCCCTCTTCCACTTTGTCTAAAAATCAGTGGAAAAATATCCTTGGGTGAGGATCAACAACAACAAAAATAAATAAATAAATAAAGTGTCTCCATCAAGAAAAATGTTTGCTTCAGGGTTTGTGGGTTTTTTTCCAAGGTAAAATATAAATTACATAAAAGTTGCCATCTTAAGCATTTTAGGTGTACAGTTAACTGGCATTAAATACATTCACATTGTTCTGCAACCTCCACCAACAGCTATCCACATAACTCTCTTCATTTTGTAAAATTAAAACTCTATACCCATCGGGGGGAAAAAAGCAGAAACATCTGTAACAAAATTAATCAAAATAAATAAAATTTCCACCAGCAAAAAAAAAAAAAAAAAAGAAAGAAATGAAGCAACTAAAAGACTAAAGTCTTATTGAAATTTAAAAAAAAAAAAAATAGCTCTATACCCATTAAACAGTTTCTTCCCTCCCACCAGTCCCTGGCAACTACCCTTCTGCTTTCTGTCTCTATGATTCTGACTTCTCCAGGGAGCCTCATGTAAGTGGAATCATACAGTACTTTTTTGTGAGTGGCTCAGCTTAATGTCCTCAAAGTTAATCCATGTTGTAGTATATTGCAGAATTTTATTCCTTTTTAAGGCTGAGTAATACTCCCTTGTATGTATACACCATATTTTGCTTACCCATTCATCTGCCAATGGACATGGGTTGCTTCCATGTTTTAGCTATTGTGACTAATGCTATGAACATGGGTGTACAAATATCTCTTCGAGACCCTGCCTTCAATTCGTTGAGGGATATACCTAGAAGTGAAATTGCTGGGCCATACAGTAATTCTATTTTTTACTATCTGTGGAACTTCCATACTGGCTTCCATAGCGGCTGTATGATTGTACATTCCCACCAACAGTGTACAACAGCTCCATTTTCTCCACACCCTCACCAACACTTGCTACTTTCTGTTTGATAGTAGCCATCCTAATGGGTGTGAGGTGGTATCTCGTCGTCATTTTGATTTGCATTTCTGTAATGACTAGTGACATTGAGCATTTTCCTCATGTGTTTATTGGCCATTTGTATATCTTCTTTGGAGAAATTATCCCTATCCCCAATTTTGCATTAAGTTGTTTTAGAAGTTCTCTATATATTCTGGATATTAATCCCTTATCAACATATGATTTTTAAATATGTTTGTCCATTCTGTGGGCTGCCTTTTTATTCTTTGGATAGTGTCTTTTGATGTACACATTATAAAAATTTTCTTGAAGTCCAATTTGCCTATTTCTGTCGTTGCATGTGCCTTTGTGTCATAGCCATGAGATCACTGCCAAATCCAATGTCACCAATTAAAAAATGGGCAGAGGAACTAAATAGACACCTCTCCAAACAGGACATACAAATGGCTAAGAGACATATGAAGAAATGCTCATCATCACTAATCATCAGAGAGATGCAAATTAAAACAACAATGAGGTATCACCTCACACCTGTCAGAATGGCCGCCATCAACAAATCATCAAACAACAAGTGTTGGCGAGGGTGTGGAGAAAAGGGGACTCTAGTACACTGCTGGTGGGAATGCAGACTGCTGCAGCCACTATGGAAAACAATATGGTGTCACCTCAAAAAATTAAAAATTGATCTTCCATTTGACCCAGTGATCCCACTTCTAGGAATATACCCTAAGAAGCATAAAACACCAATAAGAAAGAATATATGTACCCCCATCTTTGTAGCAGCACTATTTACAATCGCTAAGATCTGGAAACAGCCCAAGTGCCCATCAGTAGACGAATGGATCAAAAAGCTGTGGTACATATACACAATGGAGTACTACGCAGCGGTAAGAAAGAAAGATCTCTTATCCTTTGAGACCACATGGAGGGACCTGGAAAGTATCATCCTAAGTGAAACAAGCCAAACAGAGAAAGACAAATTTCATATGATCTCACTGATTTGTGGAATATAATGAACATAACAGTTTGAGGAATGGGGTAGTCCCAGAGATGCGGAAGCGGGGTACAGACTGACAATCCCCTAAGGAGTGGGGAGGTGGGGGAGGGATGAACCACAGAACTTATACGCATGTGTGCATGAACAGTGGACATGGACAACAATATGGGGAAGGGGCAGGGAGGGGTGGGGGAGGGGGGAATCAGTGGGGGAAAAAAGGAGAATCATCTGTAACAAAAATTAATCAATAAAAAAACAACAAAAAAAAAATCCAATGTCACAATGCTTTTGTGCTAGGTTTTCTTCTAAGAGTTTTATTGCCTTAGGTCTTATATTTGGTTCCATTTGAAGTTAATTTTTGTATATGGTGTTAGTGGACGATCTAACTTCATTCTTTTACTTGTGGAAATCTAGTTCTTTACCAGACCTCATGAAGCCACACCCTAAACACGTGCGGGTTAGCATTCAGCCGAAGACTCATCGAGATCCCTGTGAAAACTTCTAGTTCTCTCTGCAGAGTTCCCTCTTCTCTGATACTCTGCCCCACAAATTCTATTCACTGTTCTCTCTCCAAACCCTGATCTCTCTCCCCAGTTCAGCAATACTCTGTACTGTGCTTGAACCCTCCTTCCCTGCACCATGATCCAGAAAGTATGTCTGGCAGAAAGCTGGGAGGAATTACAGAACACACTCTGTTTCTCTCGTCCTGGTTGTGTGTGTCAGGAGAGCACTCCAGTACCAGCTACTCCAACTCGTCTGGGAGCAAAATTCAGTTCCTATCTTTCTTGTTTGATAGTATGTTTCTTCTTGCTTATATTTTCAGATCTCTCTTTTATTTATTTAAACTCTAAAAACATATTTTATATTGTGCCCAACAATTCCAATAGCCAAAGTCTTGTACATCTAATTTAATGTTTGATATTTGCTTTCATTCACTTAGGCTTATATTGTTAAATTTTGGAATGTCCCATTGGGTTCTCTCTGTGGGAATCCTAGGAGGCCTAGGTTGAGAGTGAACATCTTCAGAGAAGATTTGTGTTTGCTTCTATCAGGCATCCTGGGTGCTACTCACTGGGTTTCCCAGACCTCACAGACAACATATATATGTAAATCCAGTATGTGAAGGCTGGCCTGGACAGAAGTAGAAGTTGCTTCCGCTTGCCTTCCAACTCTGGTGTGTCCTTGTGCTCAGAAGGGAAGGAGGAGAGAATGGTTGAACGCCCAGGACCCCTAACAAATATCAGGTATCAGACACCCCTTAGGTATCAAAGGATGGAGGCTTAAGAACATAGCACGTCATTTCAAATCCATTACTGGGAGACAAATGTGTAATCCAAAATAAGCCTTACAATGATACAAATGATAAAAATTAAACCTCAAAAAATTCAGATTACAAAAGCATCTATTACAAAGGGAGCACAAGTAGTTAAGTATAGGGCATGTCGCTTAGCGCAACCCACAGATCGGGTCCAGAAGTCTCTCTTCTGGACTTAGAGAACAAGGCAGACCCTCTGGGGCCCTCACCCTGCTCCTGGGAAGTATGGCTCTGGTATGCTGTCTGTCCTTCTCAGGTGCCACCAAGGAGGCGTCAGCACACCAGCTGGGCTGCCATCTCTGGGCGGTTGATGCTGGTAAGGATCCTTCAGGCCTGTTGGCTTGGTCACTGGGGGCGGCTAAATGGGGACGTTAGCATACAGGGGCCACAGCAGCTCTGGCTTTCCAGGGGTGGCGTGTCACTGCCTCTTCTGTCCCACTCCGCGGCCCTCTCCCTCTCTTTCTACCTGTCGTTTATTCTCCCTCTTCCTTCATTTCTTCCTCCCTCCTCACACTCTTTCCCTCCCTCACCCCTCCGCTCTGTCCTGCGCTCTCCCTTCTCATCATCTGTCTCCTCGTCTCTCCCTTAGTCTCTTCTCCCTCTGCTCTGCTTTTCTCTTCCTGTCTCCCCTTTCCTTCTTCTCTCTCCACCCGTCTTCCACTTGGACCAGAACCGGAGCCATTCCCACAGTGAAGGGAAGGAGGGCAGAGTTGAGTCCCATCAGAGACCTCCTCACGGTTAATGTCTCATTTGACTTGGCCCCCTTGTCAGGTTTGTTTCCTTGGGAGCGAGAGAATCCTGGGCTGACATCACTGCCACAGAAGAAGCTCTAGGTCATAGCAATCAAGTTTCCAAGGACTGGACCTGGAACAGAGTTGCTGGGGGGCCTCTGGCCTTGTAGAGCCAGCCTAGCCCACGGCCTCACCCAGATGCTGGAGGCATGCTCATTTATTACATAGAGGCTCAGAGAAAGGGGGTCGGGCTGGGGAGGCGGGGCAGGGTGGGCGAGGGAGGAGCCTCGTCCAGGCCTGGCACTCTGGCAGTCAATGGGCTGCATCACTTCTTGGAGGACGGCTTCTTCCAGGCGTTTATCTTCTTACTGCCCCTCCTGCCTTTGCTGTGAGGGTGCAGATTCACGTCGGGATGTTTCATCCTAAAAATCAAATAGAGAGAAGCAATGCTGGGAAAAGGGTAGAGAGGGCTGGTCCGGATAGTGCCCTGAGCCTGTCCTGGCCTGGGCCGAGGTAGTGTGGCCTTCCACCTTGCACAGTCAAGGTCCTCTGGGCATCACTTCAACCTGGGGGTCTTGGTGGCACCTTGAGTTTTGTAGGCACTCAGTTTTGCTTTTCTATTGTCATGAGAAACATGTGATTTTTCATGCTCTTGCAGAACACATGATTTGCTTTACAGTGAACATGGCCAAGTTAGTGGCGTTGACAGGTCTAGGATGTTTCTTGCAGGCAGATAGCTGGCAGGCTCCACCCTTCTCAGACAGACAGATGGATCTGGGCTGTGGGACTTCACCACAAAGTTTGAAGGCCCCAGTCTCCACCAACCAGACCACTGTCAGCAGCAGCTCCAGGGAAAGAAACTGGGCAGCATGTTGATAAAATGGCCAGGGGTCAGGGACTGTTGGAGAGACCCAAAGGGGATGTTACCACCCAAGGACACTTAGCCTCATGTGGCCTCTGTGAGCCATGCCTATTCTACTGACCCCAGGGGAGCCCCTCAGCCCCGGGCCCAGGAGGCCACCTACTTCTTCTCGACTTCAGGGAAAGACTCCTCCATCTTGTCCCCTAGGGTCAACGAGGAGACACTTCCTTGGACATCTTCCAACAATGCTCTTCTGTCTGAGTCAGCGTCATCCAGGATGGAGGCTGAAGTGCTGCAGGGAGGCAGGGAGGGGAGGACAGTGCTCAGTGGAGGCACAGTCCAAGGGACCCAGATCTGGGGGTGCCCGGGCAAGCAGCCCTCACTCAAGAGCTGCCCCTTCAGTGTCCCAGTTCCCAGAGAGAAAGGGCACAGGTGCTTCTCCAGGGGGTGGGTGAAGGAAAAACCTCACTCCCTGGGGACCCAGAGACTCACTGGAGGTTGGCTTCCCTGGTTTCTTTTATTTTTTTTAATCCTCACCTGAGGATATTTTTCCAGTTATCTTCAGATACAGTAGGAGGGAGAAAGCAAGAGAGAGAGAGAGAGAAGCATTGATGTGAGAGAGACAAACACATCTATTGGCTGCCTCCTGCATGACCTTCACCAGGGCTGGGGACCGAACAAAAAACGAGGTACATGCCCTTGACCAGAATCGAACCCACGACTCTTTGGTCTGCAGGCCAATGACCTAACTACTGAACCAAACTGGCCATTCCCTGGCTTCTTTTGAAGGCTGGAATTGCCCTAACTCTGTATCCGTGACACCTGTGCACCCAGCCTGACCACCAAGTGAGCATCCTCGCCAATACTTGTTGTTTTCTGTTTGTTTGTTCCTGATAATAGAATGGGTGTGAGGTGGTATCTCATTGTGGTTTTGACTGCATTTCTCTAATGATTAATGCCCTTCACTTTTTTTCACATCAATTTCTGGGTCTTTGGATCAGCGAAAGTGCAGCAGTTCAAGGTCGTATTCACCTCCAAACCCGCACTGTGGAGCACAAGGCTGGGCATGCAGTAGTTGCGCCTTGTCCAGAAACTGAAGGAGAGGTGTGACTTTTAGGCTGGAAAGGGGGCCACTTCTGGAGAGAGGAGCCTTCCATCACTGAAGGTATTGGCGGGGTGGCAGATGGCCATGGCAAGCAGCTATTACCACTCGGTCAACCAGCTCTTCCTCATTCTGACCTGACTTCTGACTCCCTGGGATGGAATAAAATCAGCCCTAGGTCATCCTTCAGTGAACGTTTCCCAAGGGACTCCTCTGTGCTGGCCCCTGGGGATGCAGGAGGACACAGAGAGAAGGGCCTGTGGTGCGGCACACCCAGCACTCTGGGCTGGCACAGCTTAACACACGCAGGGACCTTGCGCCCCTTGCCAACCCACTGCCTACTCCTCAGGGCAGAGCTGTCCCCAGGCGACCCCAGCCCCTCGGGCCTGTATGAGTCTGGGTCCCTCCCAGTGGCCCCAAAGCCTCCCCTCAATTGTCCTTGGCCTGGCCTGCTCCCACCCTTCTGCTCTGTTTGTCGCAACCAGTCTATCTGCTAGGCAGGAGGCCACCCCACTCTCAGCTGGAGCTCAAGGCCTCAGCGGGGAGCCCTGCCTCCCTGGGCAGCCACGCTCCTTCACCAGCCATGGGCAGCCCAGCTCTTCCTTGCTCACAGCCCGTCTTCTCCACGGTGGCCTCACAGACCCCAGGCGCAGACTGAGGACGATCTCAGTGGCCGGCTCCTCTGAGGAAAGAGAGGCCGAAGTGCCCACAGCCCAGCGACCAGCCAGCCTCACCAGCTCTGCCCAGTCCTGCATTTACTCCGTTGACCTGGCTCTTCTCCCCCCACCTCCCTACCTACTGTGGCTGCACAAAAGCAAGCAGATTAAAACCCTAGGAGAGGCCCTCACCGGTTTTTCTCAGTGGTTAGAGCATTGGCCCAAGGACCAAAGATTCTCAGGTTCAATTCTGGTCAAGGGCACGTACCTCGGTTGTGGTTCAGTCCCCTGCCCTAGTCAGGGTTATGTGGGAGGTAACCAATCGATGTGTCTCTCACATTGATGTTTCTCTCCCTCTACGCCCCTGTCTGAAAATAAATGGGAAAAATATCCTTGGGTGAGGATTTAAAAAAATAAAACTCTAGGAGAGGAAGACAGGATTCCCACCAAGGGACAGCGAGGCACCGAGGCTCGCCCCCTATGCCCGCAGCTCTGAATGCAAAGCTGTCTGCCAGTACCCTTCTGGAAACAGAAGATCCAGAAATGAAACATTAGCTCTCCAGGGGCTACACACCTCCCTTGCATTATATACAGACAGTTCTGCCTTCCAAGATTCTTTTCAGCATAATAGTCTGTCATGCTGGGACTGCTACATCCACTGACCATAAAACTTCCAAACCTAAAGGTGAACATTTTTCTTCTTCCTCTCAAACCACCTCTTGGCAGCTTAGTGTACTACAAACCTCAATTCCGTCACCTCTCCCCATCTAGTGCACAGCCGAGCCGCCTCCCATGCACTCATCCAAGTTGCATATTTAGGAAACAAGTGGACAAGTCAAGCACAGAGGTCCGCCCTTCAGGCTGCCGCTGCGCACTGCTCACTGGGTGTGGCTGACCAAACGGCCACCTGAGCCAGCTCTATCCATCTTGTCTGTGAGGACATCAAGTCAAGACCTTTCACCCAGTGACTTTCCGAATGCAGACAATCTAGGCCGACAGCACGTCTCTCACTACTGATCTAGTGGCCCTGCTGGAAGAGAGACTGGGGTTGGTGGGTGGTTTTAAAACATGTCCACAAGTTCTTCAACAGTACCCCCATCAGGCAGCGGGGTCTTCTTCCTCTCCCTTGAACATGGGCAGGCCCTAGGGACTCACAGGCAGGAGAAGATGATGCTAAATGACTCATGAGGCTGATTCATAAAAGGCAATACAGACCACACCTGACTCGGGACCTTGCTGTTGGAACCCAGTCACCATGTTGTGAGGAAGCCCAGGCCACATGGAGAAGCCACGTGTGTTTCAGCTGACAGCCTGCATCGACTACCACAGTGTGAGTAAGCCAGCCTTTGAGAGAACTCCAGCCCAGCCAACTTCTCACTGCAACTACACAGGAGACTCAGGCAAGTCCAGTAGGCCTTCCACCCATCAGAGATAATAGTAACAAATAATTGTGTTATATAGTACCACAAGGCTAGAGGGGGTGGTTTCACAGATAGAGATAACAGAACCGTTGTTACAGCAACATTTTCTCGTAGAGATTCCATTCTCTTTATCCCTAAGTGTTTTCAAACTGTCAACCTAATAAGCCATTCTAGAATTAGGAAGAGTCCTACTGGTTTATAGTTTCAGGAATCTGCCCCTTTCCACTTTTAATAACCTAAACCATCTGTGTGTGTGTGTGTGTGTGTGTGTGTGTGTGTAGCTCTCTGATTCTTTTTCTACTGTTCCTCAAAAGTTGTTGACAACTGTCATAAACACATCATAAGTCCTTTCAGAACCCTTGGATATAACAAATTAGGAGCCCAGAACTCCTTTTCATAATAATAACAATAGCGTTAACAACTGTGATCTGTAACCTTTCAGTAACTGTTAGTGATGTGCCAGCATTTCACATGTCTGACTCATCTAATCCTCACAACCCAAGACAGATAAAAACTATGCTTGTTCTTGCTGAGGCATAGAGAGGGTAAGTGGCTTGCCAAACTCACACAGCTGCTAAAGGTGACCAGATGCCTTTTCCTGCCCTGTCACCTATTTAGGCACAGGCTGCCCTTTCTCATTAAAGGTCAGCCTCCTTTTGAGGGCAGCAGAAGCCAAATAAGAGCTGTGTCTTTTTGTAACTAGTTTTTGGCAACCTCCACTCCCCACCTACCACTTCCCCAAATGGTGGACTGCGCTTCTGAATGTCTCTGAAAATGCCTTTCAGTGTCATCTTTGGTTTCAGCTCATCTACATTTTGGGCCTTCCCAATGGTGTCCTCCCGTGACCCTTTTGTCTTTGGTGTATTTCTTACTTAAACCTGAGCAACCCCATTGCCTCTGGCTTCCTTTTCCTCTGGAATTGTCCATCAAGGACTCCCCCAAGTCCTCCCTCTTTGAGTCTCAGACCTTAGGATCTCAGCAACTTTTCCCTCTGCACCTGTCAGCATCTGCCCTTCCTAATGTCCATAGCCTCCTCTGGACCCGCCTTCTCCACTAGACATTCCAGGATGCTTGGGTCATGGGGTAACAGTCATGGTTTCTCTGGGGTGGATTTCCCCATACTTCTTTTGGGTCAGGCAGACATTCTGACAAGCCCCAAACTCAGCACACGAGGGAGAGATTGGTGTGAGGACTCCTAGAAAGCTGAGGGGCCTGGTAGGGGTGGAGGATGCCCAACTCAGTGCAGTGGGGGTACAGTCATAGACAAGCCCACGTCTTCATGCTTCAGCAGACATACTTTCATAATATCCTCACAACAACCCTGTGAGGTGGGCATCATTACCCTCATTTTAGAGGTGAGGCGAGGAAGATTAGAAAAGCAAGCAGATTAGCCCATGGTCACCCAGCTAGTGAAGTGCACAGCAGGAGCTCCAGCCTCATCCTGAGACCCAAGGCCCAATATTCTGCTGCACCGTATGGCCCAGGCATCCTAGAATCTGCTCCTTCCCCTAATCCAGCCTTCCGCAACATCACGACCCCAGGCTCCTTCCCTGGACCAGGCTGTATGCTTCTTGAGCTGAGAGACCTACCTTTGCTCATCTCACCCAAGCTGGGCCCAGGTGGTGCTCAGTAATGGGCATCACCTGGTTGAGAAGCCAGAGCTCAGAGGCCAAGAGGCTGACTTAAGCCAGGACACCCCACTTCCTTTTACAAGGACCTGAGATCACTCCATGAATTACCCTTGTCTATGTGGCCCTGTTGGTAAACATAGTAGAAGCAGGACTTGGATTGCACACAGGATGGGATGGGGTGGGGTGAGATGTGATAAAAGGCAGGGGCGTCACTAGGTTCCCTGCCCTAATGCCTGTCTCCATTATTTCTCTTATAGAATCCAGCACTGGGCAAACGGTCCTGTGTCCCTCTCTCAGGGAGGGCCCTTTTCTCAAGCTTGTGTCCTGAGGAAACCAACAGCAGACCTCGTTCACCCCTCACAGCCTGCTCTCATTCCCACCCTGCCAGCTCTACTGTGGACTGCAGGTGGGGCCCATGGGCCCATCTCTGCCTCCTCCTCACCTCACTGCTCTTGGGCTCATCAGTGCCCCTTCCACAGTGCCGACTCCTCCCCTCCTCCCCCCACCCTTGCCGGCCCTTTACCTGAATTTGTAGTTCTCTGGCAGGAAGTAGCCCATCTTACAGTCCTGTCGAGCCTGGAAGATCTGTTTCAGCAGATTCTGCTTGCTGAAGCCATATCCATTCAAAATGCAGCCCCCAAAAAGGAGCTTGCCCCCCGCGAACATCTGCTGACAGACAGGAAGGACACAGAGGGGAGAGGCCCTCAGCACGTCAGCACTGACTCTCAGGGCAGTGCCACGGGCTCTGCCAGCTGGCACCAGCATCCAGGCCTTTCTCTGGTGGCCGGGGAAGGGGTGTTGCCCTTCCCAAGTCACCTAGTGAGGTGCGGCTAAGCCTGCCCTCTGTCTAGTCCTCCCAGGTCCGAGGCCAGCCCCATCCTCCCAGCTGTCCCCCGCCAGACGGACTAGCTCGAATGTCACTTCATACACAAGACCTCCCGGAACCCGGGGCCAGAGCGTGTCTTCCCGCGCTCAGGCAGCTGGCCTCCAGCCCGCTCTGATCCACTGACCAGTGGGTCCCAGGGGATGGGAGCCCCTTGAGGGCTGGGATCTTGTCCTACAGCTCTCTGTGTCCCCACCCTCTACATAACAATCTCCAATAAGTAGAGACCTGTGCAAAGATTTCTGTGCAAGGATAGTCATTAGTGTTATTTGTCATGACCAAAAAAATAAAAAGGGAAATAACCTAAAAAGGCCCCCAAAAAGCGGCACAGGTAGTAAAACTAAAATGACAGGTTCTTACACAGTCATAGAAATCAGGTGTTACAAACTATTTTAAGACATGAGGAAATACTTATAATACTCATACCTTTTTCATTGAAAAAGCAGGACCCCAAAGTGAGAGAAAGACTGAAAAGGCCAGATGCCGACCTATTAGCCCAGGGCCTCCCCCAGCACTGACCAGTCAGGTGCCGGTCCATTTTGTTAAGTGACCAATGAGGTAATCTGGGTGATATGATGAAGTAATTATATTCTAAATTGTATTTTTTCCACAATGAATTTACAAGGTGGGGCAAGAGTAGGTTTACAGTTGTGAGTACGTGAAACAGAGTTTATTTTTGTATTATTATTTATTAATTATCGTATTATTTCTTACTTACTAATTATTGTATTATTTTTATGAACAACTGTAAACCTACTTTTGCCTAACCCTGTATATGTTTTTACAATCCAAGTTTTTAGTAAAAAGTTGTTTAAAATAAACAAACGGAGGAAGCTAGTGTGGCTTTCCCGTTAAGCATCCCTTCAGTCTCCTGAGATGGGGGACACCTGGAGTCAGTGTGGAGCCAGGAGGCCAGGCTGGGAGAGAATCCCACAGGCCCTCCATCCTCCCCGCTCCCTCATCTGTGACTCCACAAGGGTGCGGGCTATGGAGATACGGAGACCGGGGCAGCTGGCAGTTGGTGGCGAGTCCCCTGCTGGGCTCCGGCTCACCAGAACCATGCCCGCCACCACGGCATACTTCTTCACCAGCAGGGGTGGGTCCTTCTGCAGGGAGCTGTCCAGGTCATACCGCAGGAGGCGGTAGGGGTCATGCCGACACTGCCAAGAGAATGAATGCCCGTCACCTCGATGCCAAGGGGTGCACTCAGATTCCCGCATTCTCAACCAGGCCAGGTTCCACTGAGTCCGGGAGCCCCATCCAACACCCCTCTCAACTCCTACTCAAGGGGCTGCTCAGCCCCCGCATGCACACCTCCTATGGCCATCCCAGAGAATGTCCCCAGATTCATTTAAGGCTCTCTATTGGTGAAAGTTGCCACAAAGATGATCACCCCCACCATGTGACATCCACTACTAGCCTGGCCCTCCAGTCTGTGGGATGTTCCTGTTTCCACTGCCTGGGAGAATCTGTGTGGAGGTTTGCAGGTATGAACCGTGTTTCCAGTGTACTCGTTTCTAGGATACTTCTACCCCAACCTTTCCCACGGGCTGCTCTTCTGGACTCCTCTCAGTCGTTAAATCCACTGAACTGAACCCAGGTCTCAAGGTAGGGCCTAGTCTTCCAGAGTAAAGCTGGTCTCTTTTCAACCCTCATTTCTGGATGCTATGGATTCATTAATACGGCTAATGTGACACTTTCTGATTTTATCTGCCTTTTATTGCAGGTGCCTCCAGTTGTCCTGCCTGAACTTTCTGTTTAAAATGTGAAACCCAGAACCACATCTGGTGTTCTAGCTACCAGAGCATAGAACATCAGGAAAGGCTTCTGTCCTCAGACACTGAATGGTGACACCAGCGTCACTGTAACCTGAACCCACCCTCCAGGCCTGCTCTCTGCACTTCTCCAATCCTGCTGTCCGTCTGCCGTGGCCTTCCCCCGGCTCAGGCCAGGCCCGGCCCCGTGCATGCTGCTCACGGCAGGGCCGCACCACCATGCCTTCTCGTGCTTATGGGTACTTAGTAGTGAACAATTAATAGTCCTTAAATAAACTAAAGTCAACTCTAAGTTTAAATCATATATGGCTTTGATGTATGAGACTAGAATAAAGCCTCTGGAGTCTGATCAGAAGGGTTTCAACGCCAAGCTCCTGGCACTGGCTGAATGCAGGTCCTAGGATGGGTATGTCAGGGCCAGGAAGGTGACACTCCTGGGAGGAGGGCTTGAGAGGGTGTCCTCAGGGTGTACACGAAACCTCAGAATTCGGGGCTGCAGCCAAAGGAAGACAAAGTGAAGACAATTGATTTGAGAGGGGACCAGGACAAAGAGGTTTTGAAGGAAGGCACCGAGTGGATGCAAAGCTTTTGTGCTCACATGGCACTGGGCCACTCCCTGAACTGTGCTAACACTGCTGGAATGGCTGCTGGCTTGGGATGATAATGAGATTTAGAAACAATTCTGCAGCAAGGAGGTGGGGTGGGTCCCAAGTGCCCTTAACTGACCAGCCCACATGAACTGGGACCTCGAGTGGCCTTTCCCCTGTTCCCCTTGGCACAGGTCATTGCCCCTGCCAGCAACACTCACCCCCCTTCCCAAACCCCTTCCTCCTGGGGGACTCTCCCTGACGTTTGAGAGGTGTTCCCCTGCTCCCCAGTTCCTACCAGCCTAGAGCTGTCCTTTCCCGCCCTCAGCGGGGCTGCCCCACCACGTTGGCTGCTCCTCTAGGGCTATGTCAAAATCAGCAGTGGAGCACAGCCCTGCTCAGGACCAGCGCACAGTAGGTCCTTGGCCACTGTCTACAAACACCCCTCAGCCCCGAGGATCCAGGGGAGAGCGTGACTCTGCTCTGAGGGCACCCGCACAGAACCGCAAACAGTGAGCGCTCTGGAAGAAAACAACAGGCCCTGGCTGTCTCCAGCTAAATAGGGCAGTCAAAGAAAGTCTTGATGTGGTGACACTTGTTCTGGGACAGAAGAATGGGTGGAAGAGAAACCCACAAACAGTAGGAAGAGCATGTACAAAGGTCCCAAAGAGGAAAGGAAGTGAAAGAGGGCCATGTGCCCAGGTGGAGAGGCAGCCTCTCAGCCGGGTGCTCAGCCAGTCCTAGCCCTCCATGGGGTTCTTCCCGACCAGCCCCCCCACCCGCAGACACTGGGCCTCCTCTGCTGGGCCCAGGACCCACCTGGACACAGGGTGAGGCACGGCCCTGCTGCCGGTGACTGTGGAGTGTGTTGAGCAGCCACTGGAGCTGTCCTGTGCTGGTGGGGCTCTGGCCCGACACTATCCCGAACACCAGCACCTGGCTGGGGTCGCGGGGCGCCGCCAGGAAGCGCTCCAGCTCCACGTCAGATACCAGGGGTGCCTTTACTATGCACTTGCAGCCAGAGCGGATGTCTTCCTTACAGATGAGCTTCCGCAGCACCAGTGGGCAGTCAGAGGGTGAGGCTGCCCACCTGGTGGGGCTGCGCACCTCCCGGGCCTTCCCTCTGCAAGAAGAAGCACATGGGCAGGCACTCAGTGGTCCCTGCCTCCACGTGGACAAAGGCCTTGCTGCTGAGTCTAGGCTGCAGGCAATTCCAGCCTGTCCTCTACCACCAACGTGCAGCACTGCGTCGAGTGGGTCCCCTCACCTCTCTGGGCCTTGGTTTCCTCAGGTGCAAAATGCAATGAACAAGTGACTCAATTGTTCATCTATCCAACAAAAGTTTTGTGGTCATCTTGAACTCCTTTGTTTTTCCCATACCCCATATCCTATCCAACCTATCAGCGAGTCTGTCTGCTCTCCATTCCAGAAAGATGCAGAGCCCTGGCCGGTTTTCTCAGTGGTTAGAGCATCGGCCTGCGGTCCAGAGAGACCCGGGTTCAGTTCCCACAAGGGCATGTACCTTGGTTGCAGTTTGTCCCCAGCCTGGCTGTGTCGCGCGGGTGGCAGCCACTCCCCCCCCTACACACACACACACACACACACACTCTGTCTGAACAAAAAAATGGAAAAATGTCCTCGGGTGAAGATAAAAAAGAAAGAAAGATGCAGAATCCGACTACTTCTCCTGCCCCCCTGTTCCTATTAACACGGTCCAAGCCACCATCATTTCCTGCCTAAATGCCTCCTAATGATTCTTCTGCTTTCTCCCCTCGCCCCTCTTCAGTCTACTCTCTGCCCAGCAGACTGAGGGATCCTGTTAAAATCTGAGTCACATCATGTCACTACTCTTTTTGAAATCCTCCAGTGGCTTTCCACCTTTCATGGAATAAAAGCCAAAGTCCCGACAATGTCCTCCAAGGCTGTACATGATCTGTCCCCCTTCCTCATGCCCTTTACTTCTCTTATTCTTCTCCAGCATTCTCACCTTTGCTTATTGAGCTCGGGCCACTCTGGCTTGTGCTTATCCTGCAACCTCAGGGTCTTTGCTCTTGCTGTGCCTTCTGCCTGCTTGGCTCTTCCCCCAGACAGCCACACAACCCACTTTCTCACCTCTACGTCTTCATGCACATGTCACCTCCTCAGTGAGACTTTCTTTGACTGCCCTATTCAGAACCATATTCCTTCACCCCCAACACTCTTACCAATTCCCTGCCTCATTTTGTTCCTTGGCGTTGCTCGTTGTCTAGCATACTGTACATTTTACTTATTGATTCTGGTAATTGTACTTCTCTATCCCAATAGATCATAAGTTACACAAGTTCATGAGTTTGGAGGGTTTGCTCAGTAGAATAAATAGTGCTCTTGGTAAATAGTAAAGATTCAACGGCGATTCAATAGATATCCAAAAGGTACTTATCAGGAACCTACTATGTGCCAGATGCTGTGTTGGGTTGTTGCAGGATTGTAAGGGTTGTGCATTTAGATAGGAATAAGCGCCATCCAAATAAGAAGTGCTGCTATGATTTTTATTCTTATCATTATTATAGCCTTACACTGTGGTTAGCATTTTATAGCATCCAAAGCCCTTGGCATAGACATCGTCATGTTAGTTTTGTAATAATCTCTATAATAGGCTAGACAGAAACTATTATCACTGTTTACAAACCAGGAAAAACAGGAGGCTCCCACTGGGTGAACGGATTGCCCAAATTCATACAGTAATTAAACGGCAAGGGCCAGGATTTGAAACCAGGTCATCCTAAAACAAGAGCAATGCAAGTAATTTACTAGTCACAATTTTTCAGAGGCTATTTGACACTAGTAAATATTTGCTAAAGAAACTTGTTCAAGAGCCTGAACATTTGGGAAGCAAAGGGTTAGATCTATTAATCACAACTTATATACCAAGATAAACCCAACATGGATCAAGGTTTTAAATGTGAAAAAAAATTAAGCCATAAAAAGTTCTACAAAAAGTATGAGAGAATCATTTTACAATTTTGAAACAGGAAAGGCCTTTTATAATAATGATTCAAAAGTGAAGTCATGATAGAAAAAGATTGATAAATTCAACTGCACAAAAGAAAAAAAAGAAAAAACCCTAAGTGGTAAAACCATCACAAGCAAAGACAAAAGACAAATGACAAACTGGGAAACATATATGAACCTCTTATCATAGTAGGATAGATTACCTACTACGTAAAGAACTATAAATGAATTTTAAAAAGTTAATAACCCAATAAAATATAGACAAAGGAAGTAAACACCCAATTAACAATTATATAGAAATGATTTCTTTTAATTATAAAAAAGTAGGAGTGAAGTTGCCAAAAATGACAGAGTAGAGAATTCCAAAACTATGTTCCTTCACAAAACCAACAATTAATCTGGCAAAAACTGTCAGAATCAACTTTACAGAGCTCTGGAAACTAATTTAAAAACCTACAACAGCCCTGGCCAGTTTGGCCCAGCGGTTAGAGTGTCGCCTGCAGTCCGGAGAGACCCGGGTTCAGTTCTCGCTAAGGGTACATACCTCGGTTGCAGTTTGTCCCCGGCCCTGGTTGGGTCATGTGGGTGGCAACCACTCAATGTGTCCCTTTCACGTCGATGTTTCTCTCTCTCTCTCCCCTACTCCCACTCCATCTGAATAAAATATCAAAAAGTGTCCTCCGGTGAGGATAAACAAACAAAAAACAAAAAACCCTACAACAACAAAAGAAATGCTTAGAGAAGAAAGAAACTGCTGCCCTGGCCAGTTTGGCTCAGCAGTTAGAGCGTCGGCCTGCGGTCCGGAGAGACCCGGGTTCGGTTCCCGCTAAGGGCACGTATCTCGGTTGCAGTTTGTCCCCGGCCCTGGTTGGTCGTGCGGGTGGCAGCCACTCGATGTGTCCCTTCACGTCGATGTTTCTCTCTCTCTCTCCCTTCCTCTCTCTCCCTCCCACTCTATCTGTACAAAAAATGGAAAAATATCCTCGGGTGAGGATAAAAAAAAAAAAAAAAAAGAAAGAAACTGCTACATTTGGTCAGACAGCATTATGGTATTTTAATTTACCCACCTGCCATCTTCCCGGTGTGTCTTGCAGGAACTAGAAAGGGTAATTAATATGGACTTGTTCTCAAGCAACTGTGGTTGTGTAGTTTGACACATCTGGTGGTTCCCTGAAGGATTGCTAAGGGGCTTGCTGTTGTTTTGCCCACTTTGGAACTTTCTTAAGGATGGAACAGCATCCTTGGCAGCATTTGTCAAAAGAATTTAAAGGGAAATATACCAGACACAACCTCCTGGTGCAAGAGATAACAGATGGGGCACAGAGTAGATAGACCAAAAAAACCTGGGAAGAAAGAGGCTGAGAAAAATACATGGGGTAATAAAGACTTTGAAAGGTCCCGTGTACACCAGGAAATATAAAGAGGCACATGCATGCCCAGGGTTGGAACCATGTTTAGAAAAGGCCTGAGAACACCCTACTCCTTTACCTCTGGCTGACCTTTGGGCTCTGTACAAGTGGAAAGTAAAGGCTAAAGCAGAGTTTAAATAGCCAGGCTAAAAGCAGTAAAGTATTCCAGCACACAGTAGTCAATCTGCAAAGACTGGGAGAGTTGTTTTTTTTTTCCTTCCAGGTATTTAAAGAAGTCTCTGTCAAATGTCATTAGCTTACCACTAAGATAAACAGAGACTTCAGTGACCACATAATAAAGAACATAGTCTTTACAAAAGTAATTTAGAAGAGTCACTAAATGAAACACACACACACACACACACACACACACAATTATAAACTATAAGCAGCAACAACAAACCCTGGAGAGAGGGTAGAATTTGATTTCTAGAGTTACCACATTATAATATTCACAGTGTTCAGTTTTCAACAAAAAATTATGAGACATACGAAGAAACAAGAAAGTATGGCTCATTCACAGGATAAAGAAACTGAAGAAAAACTCTTCCTAAGGAAATCCAAATATTGGACTTTCTAGACAAAGATTTTAAGTCAACTGTCTTAATTATGTTCAACATGCTAAAGGAAACTAAGGACAAAGAGCTAAAAGAAACCAGGAGAAAAATGTCCCACCAGATAGAGAATTCATAAAGAGATAGAAATTATTAAAAAAAACAACCAACCAGAAATTCTAAAGTTGAAAAGTACCATAACTGAAATGAAAAATTTAACATTAGATCTGAACAAGCAGAAAAAAGAATCAGCAAACTTAAAGATAGGACAATTAAGATCATCCAGTCTGCAGCGCAGAAAGAAAAACAAATGAAAAAATTAACGGAGCCTAAAATACCTGTGGGACACGATCGGAAATATCAACATACTCATAATGGGAATTACAGGACAAGAGAGAATTACAGTACAAGGAAAGAAACAAAGAATATTTGAAGAAATAATTGCCAAAAACTTTCCAAACTTGAGATTTCTCCAAGAAGCTCAACAAATTCCAAGTAGGATAAGTCCAAAGAGATCCAACACACATTTAAATAAAATTGTTGAGAGACAATGACAAAGAGAATCTAGAAAGCAACAAGAGAAAACTGAAACTTCCGGTCAAGATGGTGGGTAGGTAAATGCGTCCTCCCACAACCACATCAAAGTTACAACTAAACTACAGAAAAAACATCATTCAAAACCGCCTGAAATCAAGCTGAATGGAAGTCCTATAACTACGGAATTAAAGCAGCAGCCACATGGAGACTGGTAGGAGGGCGAAGGCAGATGGGCTGGTCCCACACCCACGTGTGGCGGATAAAAACCAGGAGGACACCTCGGCTGGGAAGGTCCTTCCTGAGGACTGAGGGGTCCCCGTCCCACACCAGGTGCCCTGCTCAGGGTTCCAGTGCCAGGAAGAGAAGTCCCCATAACTTCTGGCTGGAAAAACCAGCAGGAACTGAGGCTCAGGGAAGCTGAAGTGGCTGGAGCCCCAGGCAGCTCCTTAAAAGGCCCGCGCACGAACTTATCTGACTCTCTCCCTCTAAGCTTGGAGGGGAGGCAGCTCGAGGGCACCAGAGACATTCAGGGAAGAACTGGGCTGTTTGGCATTGGAGCAAGGGCTGGAGAGGGGGCTTTCTCCTGGACAAACATGCTGTCAGAGGCCTTTGTTCCTTTGGTGAGCCCTTCC